ATACATGTTATCCTCTACAGACTAACTTACATGCTGTAGGTGCTACTGAATGTCATATGTCCCTATCATACTTAATTAACTATACATTTATCCTACCAATACAACTTACCGGGTGGGAATTCAACTCTTTTCATTTATATGGTAAAAACTTTGCGATACTTACCGGGTGGGCCAATATTCGCCTCCGTGTCCTTTATAAAATCATGACTTTACGTCATGTAATTTGTAAAATCTGGTAATTTTATTAAAGGACACGGAGGCTCATATTATGCTAGTTCAAAGCTGAGCAATGACTGATGATGTTATGTGATCTGCAGGGCGAAAATAGTATTCCTTAAAGGTGGATTCACGGGACCAGTCTGCCGTCCGCAGAAGGTCTTCCAGTCTACATCCCAAATTAAATGCTTTAGTCGCCATAGCTCCCCTAGTGGAGTGTGCTCCATATATGGAGTATCTATATTTGCGGAGGTCATTACCCATTTCACCCATCGGGCTATAGTTACTGATGATACTGGTTGATGTGGCGTGCTAATGGCCAAGAATAGTTCATGATGACTAGGGTTTCGAAATGCCTGTGTCCGTTTCTCATATTCTTTGAGACAAGCTATTGGACATAGGTTTGCATTGTGAGGGAATGCTGGATAAAATACTGTAGAAATTGCTGTTTTAGTACGTCTGGCAATGTTAAAAGTTACTCCCAATGGAGTGAACGAGCATGCATCCACATCCAATGCTCGGAAGTCTGAGACTCTTTTGCATGATACCAAGCAGAAGAGCATAGCCAGTTTCGCTGATAGTTGTTTAAGTGTGAGGCTAGTGTTCTGTGGCCATTGTTCCAATAAATTTAAGACTAAATTCACGTCCCACATTGATGCATATCTGGGTTGTGGTGGTCTTGAAAATCTAACCCCACGTAAGAATCTGCACACCAGTAAATGTTTCCCTATTGGTGCTCCTTCTAAGCCTTTATGTCCAGCCGATATTGCTGACCTGTATACATTAATAGTCCGGTATGCTAGACCTTGATCGTATAGGTGTGTCAGGTAGTAGGTAGTTCACAGGGGCACATACGGGATCCACTTATTGTTCCATGCACCAACCACTCCAGGAGTTCCATACTCGACTGTAGGATCTCCATGTTCCTGGAGCCCAGGCTTCCGCCAGTAGTTCAAGCATTGCCTGTGGAACCTCTGGTACGACCCAGGGTCCCCTGAAAGGAGCCACGCTAACAACCTGAGTTGTCCCTGCATCATCAGTGGGTGTGGGTTCCCTTTGGGATCCGACAAAAGGTGCGGGTTCTCGGGAAGTATCCTGGGAAGGTCTATAGATATCTCCATGAGTGAAGGGAACCATGGCTGCGTTGTCCAGAATGGTGTTATTAGGACCAGTGATGTCCGTGAGCGGTCGAGATGTACCAACATCCGTGCCAACACAGCGAACGGAGGGAAAGCGTATAGTCTTCTGCTCGGCCATGACTGGAGGAATGCATCCGTACCTATTGCCTCTGGATCTGGTCTCCAGCTGAAGAATTACGGAAGTTGCGTATTCAAACGAGACGCAAACAAATGCATGTACATCGGGCCCCACAGCGTTTGTAATCGCAGGAATACTCCACGATTCAGGCGCCAATCGCTGGCGTCCCGCAGGTGTCTGGAATTCCAATCCGCTACCATATTCGAGAGACCCGGGATGTATTCGGCTCGTACTGATATGTTGCGGTCCAGGCAAAATTGCCAAAATTCCGTGGCTAAATCTGCTAATATTCTGCACCTGGTGCCGCCAAGGCGGTTGATGTATTGCACTGCTGATATGTTGTCCATCCTCAAGATGATGGAGCAATGCTTCTTGGCACCTAAGAGGCTCTTCATTGCGAATGATCCCGCCATAAGTTCCAGGCTGTTGATATGCAGCGCTCTTTCCGATTGGGACCATCTTCCGCTGTGGAAATATGACCACAACGCGCTCCCCAGCCAATAAGGAGTTGCCAATAAGGCAAATAGAGCGCTGCGCCCACTCTCGGATAGTCAAGAGGTCTACTGGTGTGCCACCTGAGAGTGCAGCTTCGACCATGTCGAAAATTTTTGCGCTGGGGCCCAATGAGTCAAGCACCTTATCCTGGCAGTGGCACAGGGGGTTATCCAGCCCTTTTTTGGCTTTCCAGACAGATTTTCCCAGAAATTGGGCAATTTTTGGGTCCAGTTCCGGTGTGGCACAAGCCATATCTGGGACTGTTGGACGTGGGCATTCCGCCCTCAGCTTATTCCTGGTGGCTTTATCCAGGGGTTTCCTAATTCTGGCCGCTATATATTGGGCCACGTGGTCAGCTGGAAACCATTCCGTAGACCTAGGGTGTTGTAGGTCATCTGGATTAAATAGGGGCTCCCCCTGCGGGTCTAGAATAACTGAATCATCCGTGGCCTCTTTGCCCATGTTGGCTGGTTTGCCTGGTAAACTGTGCTCCAGAGAAGAATTCCTCCTGGTCCGAATCAGAGTCGGATATCTCTGTCAGGGCTTTTGCCCATTTCCATGCCCTCACCGTTTTTGCCCGGTGGGAGGCTCGCTTACGTGGGGGCCCCACGTCCTCATTAGTGACAGGACACAATCTGTCCGTCATGCTCGTTTTGGAGGTTTGCTTGCCCACATGATGGGTCTTTTCTGTAGCCTTGCGCCCGCTGAGGGATGCAGGCTTGTCATCTTGGGCCTTGGGGCGGAGGCCGTCGGGGTTGTGGCTAGACGCCAAGATGGCGTTGCTGATGGATTGGGTCAGGTTATCCGACATCGCCCCCATCGCTGTGTATATGGCCTGTGTGACCAATTTTGTCATTGTCACATCTAGGAGTGAATGGAACTCCTCCGAGTTCAGTTGCTCCAAAGACGCCACATCTTCTCCTTGGGAGGAGATTAGGTGCGGAGCCTGGGACACACGGTGTGTGGTGTCCTTATTGACAGAAGCAAGAGTGACAAGCTCCTGTTCCTTGGGGTGCTGCATTCTAGACATAAATCTGATTCAATTATGGGGACACTAAACTAAGTGGCACTATTAGCAATGGCCCTCTGAATGTATAATATCTATATATATAAGTTGTGCTTTAAAGCACACACAGTACTGTCTCTTTAATTCCAAGAGAGACCGTATTACAAGTCAGCCTGGCACAGTGAAAACTGATTAGTCTGGCTATTAAAGGGTGACAGGGCAAGGCACAAACAATGCTGTCAGCTTACCAAGTGTTCCCTCCGGAATGGCCGCAAGGGAACACTGGCAGGCTGACAGCCACAGACAATGACCAATCCGAGTGCTCCCGCCCCTCAGGGGGGCTGGGGGCGCCGGGAAAAAGCGCGGCAAATCTCTGAGTAAGCCGGCGGTTAAAATGGCCGCCACGTTGTGTGGCCGCCAATGCGCCTGCGCGTGCAGCCCCCGGCTGTAAAAATGCCCGCGCCGGCAAACAGCCACCGCGGAGAATTGCCGGGGAGAGGACTTAGTTACCTGATGTGCGCGGGTAATAAACTACCCGGGGAGGTGAGGGAGGGAGGGAGGGAGTGTATCTCCAGGACGGGAGATATTAAGAAGGATAATAAATCTATGAAACTATGTATACAAACTACAAATAGATACCAACGGTTTATACTCCTAAACATACATGCAAAGACCTATAGAAGGGGAAACTCTTATACACTTTATACTCCTATATAATACATCTAACTCCCCCTAAAGTCTACAGACAATATATCTATACAGAATATATATAGTGAAAATATGTAATGAAAGATACATAAAGCAATATCCCAAATCTAGCTATCCAAATAGAATGAACTCTAATTAGAGAGAGATAAAAATTGGGTGATACTTAGCTGAGGCAGCAGCAAAGAAAGAGGGAGAGGAGAGGTCACATGGGTGGTTATGGATAGATGGACTGTTCCTATTGGTTAAGGATAGAATATTATGTTAACCCTTTGAGTACCTATCCTAGTTTTGTCTTTGAATGTCTTATACCTTTTTCTTTGCTGCTGAGGTATAATAAAGAGAGAGATAAGCATAATATTCGCCTCCGTGTCCTTTATAAAATTGTCATTTATCTCTGTCATTCTTTTATTCTGCATCCCCCTCATTTTCATTGTGCGCTCTCCTTCCCCTGGCGAAACAGCAGGCAGTGAAGCAGTAGGCCCCACCTAGATTCTGTCATCTGTGTGCTTCTAAAACCCCTGTGCACCAAATGGCACTTGCACAACAAAACCAAGGCAAAACCATCTGGAGGCGAGGATTGGCTCTTGATGGTGATGGCCTTCTAAACTTTTCCTGCTCCACTGCCTCGTGTTAATTAGCCCAAAAATTCCTATTTACCCCGCACAAATGGGGACCAGAAGGCTGCTGACTCTAAAAAGAGCTCACGCACCCGGTCCCTCTGCCGGTACCTGGTTACCCCGGCGGGCCTCGCCACCCCGACAGACTCGTCATCGCAGCCTGTGTCGAAAGAGGCCTGTAGGATCACCGTGTTCCTGGAGCCCAGGCTTCCGCCAGTAGTTCAAGCGTTGCCTGTGGAACCTCTGGTACGACCCAGGGTCCCCTGACCAGGGTGTGGCCTCCCTCCGCTTCTCCCTGGAGGACGGATCCCCGATGCTGGCGGATGGAGAATGGCTGACCCTGCTTCGGGCATTACCCGCCCAGCGACTGACCTGAGGAGCACGAAGATCTTGCTGCTGTTCACCTGCACTTCCCCACTTCTCCCCCTTTTCCATTTTTTACCCCTTACCTCCTCCTGCCCTCCTCCTCTCCCCTCCATTCTGGGGGCTCCACTGTTCATGAAAAACTGAGGAGCCTGCAGTAATGAGGACGATGTGACACCCCATCTCTGGATGTGAGGCATAATCGTCTAGCTATACCGATAGACAGAGCCAGTAGGAACACATGCACACTCTACCCCTGACACTCAACTTACGTACACTAGGAATTGATTTCCCTTGAGTTCCTTGACCGAGACACATGGACTGCCAGGAGTTGGTTACCTTTAGACTATTACATGCCACGTGGTAAGTGGCACAACACTTACCACGTGGCATGTAATAGTCTAAAGGTAACCAACTCCTGGCAGGGGGTGGGTTTCTCAACCTCAGCTGGACTGGGTGGGAGCCCTGACCCTACTCAGTCACCAATACCAGCTTTCCACTCAATGTTTCCACGACACCTGTGTGCTCCTGCGCCTTGACGGACCTGAGTCCCCAAGCAGACATCCGTCCTATCCCTCACGATTTCAGTGCTAGCTCACCAAGTGGTGTACCTTCCTTTACACAACTGACACTTTAGGGCAACCTGTGACTGGGGGCAATTTAAAAAGAATTAGCTAGGCCACCCAAACAACCCCCGACCAACCATGACCAGCCACACCTCTTACTTCTTGCCCACAGACCCCAAACTGCTGTCGCTCAATACTAAGGGACTCAATACACCGAGAAACGCTCGCTTGCATTGAGGGACTTTAAGGCCCAGAGGGCTCACGTGGTGCATGTCCAAGAAACACACTTTTGGGAGGGTTCTGCCCTGAAACTGACCAACTACCCTCTAGCTATTTTTGGGAACAACCATACAGGCAAATCGAGAGGAACGGCCATCCTCATTCACAAGTCTATTCCATAATTACATGGTGCAACCTTAGTAGGGTGGGAAGGCCAATACGTTTTCATAAAAGGGAAGATACTGGGACAGACATACACTTTTGCCAACATTTATACACCTAACTCACAACAAGGCAGGTTTTTGAGGACCACATTGTAAACCTTAATGGCCTTCATGGAGGGCCTTCTCATACTAGGGGGAGATTTTAACATAGCCTTACACCCACGAGTAGATACCTTGACAGGCACGTCAGCCGTCCTGGACCACACACTCCAGATGATAAGAAACATTCTACTTACTCACCACCTAACTGACCGCTGGTGGGCGATGCATCCTGACGATAGGGACTACTCACACTACTCTATTCCCCACACCAGATACTCTCACAGATTATTTCTTCGTCCCCTACTACCATCTGCATACTGTCACCCAGACAGCCTTCGGAGCAACGACTATGCCCCCCTTACACTAAGCCTATCCAGCCCTCTTTGTTAACTGGAGTCTTAACTAGACCCTTTTCAACGACCCCCTGGTCCTGGCGGAATGCGAACACCACACTGATGAAATATTTTGCCGAAAACACGACGCCCGAGATACCTGCCCCAACCATCTGGGAAGCACATAAGTGCTCCATTAGGGGCTTTTCATGGCCAGGGGTGCTCAGATAAAAACAGGAAAGGGAGGCAGGAGTCACACAGCTTACAGTGGTGATCCTCAAGCTAGAACAGACCCACAAACTGAGGCCCACCCTTGCCGCCTTCCAGGAACTGGCAGCCAAAAGAAGGCACTTCTACCTATAAAGTGACAAATGCGACAACCTGCTGGCATTATCAATAAATGGAAAGCAAAATCCAGGGGCTGGGTGCAACGCATGCTGGACGCCATCGCACGGGTTGCACACTCCTATTATGAGACCTTATATGCAACAAGTGGGGCACCAAACGGATCTCTGATGAACGAAAGAGGGGATGTCATCCGACAATACCTGGAAGCCAACATACACACCACACTGGAGGCGGAGGCACTAGAGGCGCTCGAGGCTCCCCTTTCCAACGAAGAACTGGCAGAAGCCAATGTGAGTGGGAATTTCCAATTTCAATGGTCAGAGAGAGCTATTAAGTACCTAGGGATCTGGATAACTAGAGACATCACACCACTGTACGAGACAAATTTTATTCGGATGATTTCCACGATATAGAAAAACCAGGCAGGTTGGATGCTGCCGTATATATCCTGACTGGGACGCATCGCAGTGACCAAGATGAACATTCTACCACGCATCCTCTACCAGTTCCAGACTCTCCCCATCAAGATCCCGACTGTGTACTTCACATCCCTAAGATCACTTTAATTAAAATACATATGGGGCTCGCAGAAACCCAGAATACATTATCAAATTCTGACCAAACCAAAAGTGGAGGGGGGTCTGGTGGTCCCTGACTTGCTACTGTATTACTACTCCACCCACCTACAAAGAGTTCTAGACTGGGTCAAGGGAGGGGTAACCAAATTATGGAAGGACATTGAGCAATGCCAAACAGGCAGCTCCTTGCAAGCCCTAGTTTGGATGACACAGGGAGAGTGTTAAGGTGTTAATGAGCCAACAGTCGTGTGTCAGGGCGACACTCGAAAACTGGCACCAATTGGCCCCCAAAACAGGCCTATCATTCTTCCTGTCCCATCTGTATCCCCTCACTATTAACCCTGACTTCCCACTGGGCTTGGGGTCCAGACCATACGCAGCCTTTTTCCCCACACGCACAGGTTCAGGCCTGCCACATGATTAAAGGGAAAAGACTCAAGACCTCAGAGAATCTTCTGGAGGACATCTCAGGAACATTCATACCGCAGTGGAGGGGTTGGAGAGGATGGTGGAGGTTTGTGCCAGGTGAGGGGACAGGCCCTGGTTCACTGATGATAGGAAGCCAACAACTAGATAGGATGCTGAAGCGGGTTAAGCAGTTGATCTGCCGACCAACATAGTGAACTTAACTATTCACTGACACATTAGTAGCAACGGGCCAAGAAAGGTACGAATTAGTCGTACCCAATGGCGCATAGCTAGGGTTTGACCTGTGAAAGTGGAATGGGACATTGGAGAAAGGGTCAACACTTTATAGCGACCATACCAACTGTTCATGAGGACATACTGATTGATACTGTAGGACTCAATGGCCCTAGTCGACGATTTAGACGCTCTTGACGATTTGAATTCAGACCTACGCAACTTCTAAAGGGACATTACCATAGGAGGAACACACTACCGTTTACAAGGACTTGAAAGAGTCCCAAGTGATGTTTCCATTTCTGTTTTTCATTTATTAATCTTGTTGATACTTCATCAGCCCTGCGTGGCTGCCTGCAAAGTTATTATACGCTTTCACAAAAAGGAGGCACAACTGTTACCATGACGACATGCATATCTTGTTAAGTGTAATTAATTTCTATGTGGTGACAAAACTTTTATTCACACAGCCAAGAATCTCATTCATCTGAAAACTACATATAAGAATTGCTCATGTACAAAATAATTCCTTTCACTTATTGAAGTGGTTCTCTCTCGCTCATTGTTTTCAGGGAGTTAGATAACACCTGCAAAAATGTCAAGTCATAAATCTCAATGAGGAATTTGTTACAACAAACACATGTACATGTTTGATACTTCTCCATCAGAAAACAGCGAGAGCCGGGATTGACTGAGAGGTTTTTTATTTTTGTTTTTCTGGATGTCATAAGAGAGTATGTGTGTGTAAAATTATTGGAATTGTCGGGAATTTGACTAGGAGATTGCAAATTTTATCCCAAAATAGCTATGTTGGAAAAATATATTGATATAGACAATATCAAGTTTAGCAAATAAACTTAAATATCTGCTTTAACGATCAAAATAATAATTATTTGTGAATATGGAAGTTTGTTTATTAAACATTCGGGATTATTCACTACACTTGAATACAATTAGAAATGACAGAATTCTAGCTAAAAATAGCCAAGCCACTCTTGTAGCTGAGTTTGTGAATTTTTCTATTACAATCTTCTCTTTTAACCTTAGTTTTGCTATTCTGGTTTTAAAAGAACACTCCAAGCACTATAATAAGTCAATTGTCGTGGTTATGATGCCCTGGCACTGGCCAAGTGAGATGACCTGCCTGTTTAGGTATGGTTTGACCTAGAGTTCACCAGCCACACAACACACTCCCTCCTTTGGAGCCTGAAGCTCCTGCAGGGAGCTTCTGTTAGCTCCACTGATACCAGTGCCGCCTTCACCTGAGCTCTCTCAGCCAATGAGCGACTCTCTGCACAGCTGGGCCTTGCTCAGTGCTGGAGGTTCTTGGGGAAGATACCGCAGCAGTAGATATCTTGAGAACCCTAAGTAAGTCATCAAACCATTCCTAAATGGTTTGACTGCTTACAAGGCACTTCCGGCAACATAACTACTATAGTGAGTTGCAGTAAACATGGTGCTTGGAGTGGTTTTTAATGCAGAAGAGTTCAAAGTTTTTTTTAAATAAATCACAATGTATTAATGGTGACCACATTTTGTTTTGCATACACTTGTTGCATAATATGGGAAATCCCATTAAATCACTTGGTTACAACAAAAAAGGCTGTCCAATTGCATCATTTCTGAAGTTGTTTCTAAGTTATCCCAAGAATTTCCCAGTAGCCGCTAACAATACTCGTTTTAAGCTAAGAACAGCAAGCAGTCTCGGCAGTCACGGTGCAGGTTGTTAGGCAGTTCATCCAAAGGTAAGCCAAATACATTTAGCATAATTCTAAAGTTATGTTGATGTGTCTGTTGTACGTATCGTGGAGACAGGAATTGAGATGCATTTCAGCATGATTTTGCAAGTTGTATTTACTCATTTGAATCATGTTTTAACACACCCAATTTTATTTTAGTGTTAACAATATTTTGGAGTTTATGCACTAAACAAAGAGTTGTGGGAAAACCAAACTGGACAATTTATGCTAAAATAGCCAATTTGACTATAGCTAAATTGCTGGGTTTTTCTAAATCAGCCATTGGTGCCTAAGTTTGCTGTTCAGTCAGTGTTTAGGGAATAAACTCTGTTGTCTTTTTTCAGTTGCTTAACACCTTAAGGACACATGACATGTGTGACATGTCATGATTCCCTTTTATTCCAGAAGTTTGGTCCTTAGGGGGTTAAAGAGACTCTAACTTTTAAGTGATTTATATTCATGAAACACTCAGATTGACGCATTGGAATCTCTATGAAATTCATACACAATTAACAGGTATCACAAGTGTAAAAAAAACCTGATAAACATACAAGAAAGTGGAGCTTCAAAGAGGTTTCTGCTATGTACTCTTCTCTTATCCTTGCAACTATTCCTAGTGATGGCTGTGGGAAAGGTCATCTTTTCACACGATGCACAAAAAGGTTTATCGAGAATCCGGCAATCTCACTGGAACTCCCATCGACCTCAGTTGTGTGCACATGTTTGAGAGTACAACATTGATGCATTTCCCTAGTGTAGGTGTAGGCAACCTTTGGAACTCCAGATGTTTGGGACTGCAATGCCCATAATGCTCGCAAAGCATCAGGGAAGATGTAGTTCAAAACATCTGGAGTGAAGAACGTTGCCTAAGCCAGGATGAAAAGCTTTAGATTAGAATATCTCCATCTGCCCAGTACAAGTATTGTACCTCCACATACTTCAAATAGACAAAGACGCTTTAATTTTAAGATAAAAAAAATGCTACAAAACTATACAAAATTGCATGCACAAATTAAACCTTATTATTTAAAATGCCAAGAAATGTATAAATGTTTCTGACCTAGACCCAAGAATCTTCATTTGAGGTTTGACAGGTAATTATAAGAGAAAGTTGTCTGTATGTGAATGTTCAAACTAGCCAGAGAGATACATATAAAATAACATTGTAACAGAATCGCCTGCTTGGAATCCAATTAACATATATTTGCATATGATGGTATTGCAAACAGAATGTTATAATTTGCATTAACTTTAATCACCCTAACGACCCCTTTTTTTGAAGAGTAATATTTTATTGTAGTCTGTGGTTGCCTGTATAATTCTCCATGGGGTTATGTTTTATGTTTAGTGTCACCACAAGTTAAATGCAAAGTGCTGAGAGGCTAGTTTTGTTTGAATTTGAGTTGGAACAGTTGCATTAATATATATGCATATATAAATAAATTAAATGAATAAATTCTGTTTAAATTACCAAATTTTGTAAGTATATGTGAAATGTTAATCCAAGTGGTTATTTTATTGCAACTATAAAGAGTTAAGATAACATCCCATTGGGGAAAATCTATAATATAAATAATACATGCATGTATTTTCTTTTTCATGTTTTCTGTTATGGTTTATGAAAAATTAGCTTACAATATCTGCAGATCTAGTGTATGTAACTACTGCAAGCCCTTTTTTCCGCACATTCACCAATCAGAGGCTTCTCACTGAAAAGCCCCTGTGGTGTAGCTACGAGCTCCTGCATGTAGCCTTTCATTCACAGACTTATCAATGAGTGGTACAGTTCATTGAGAAATTTTGGCAGAGCAAGCGCAGGTGTGTGTCTTACATACCTAGCCCTTTAAAAAAAATTCTAAAGCCTTTTCCAGTGTTTGCTTGTTAGACTTCAAGAAGAAAAGTGATTTTTGCAACTTATTGTACATGACAGTGTGTGCGCACACAATCAACGGGTTGTGTTATTGTGCGCAGTCTTTGATCCTTCCCAAATGTGTCTGCCACTGCCACGGGCTCAATAGTGCTAAAAAATAGTGGAAGAAAACCTCCCCGGCTTTCAGACAGCGGGGATGGTGTTACAGCATTGATTTATAAAAGTTATCATTTCCAGAGTCTTCCTTAAAAGAGAAGCAGACAAATTTTGGGAATCAAGACTGATGGGATTTGTTTATTCTGTCTCAAGTTATTATTTATTAAAATCTAGAAATTTGTAATTTGAGTAATCCCGACAGACAATTTAAAGCTAATTTGAAGATAATTATGAATATGCTAATTCAATTCCAGTGAATTCCATATCTGTTAGTGCTGAAATTGTCTAGAATCCAAGCCTAGTATAGAAATTTTGGACATAAATCAAGTTTTCCCCCGATCTAATTTTTAATCCGCTTGTTAGCAGTAGAGTAAACAGGATTTTCCTGCTAGGTGGAAATGGATTTAAATAAATATGAAATGGTAATCACCTAGATCTACTAATAAGACTGAGCTATCAGGAAACCCCTTAGCGTGAGGGTGGCGGTGAGAAAATGAATATAAGGTTCCATTTCTCCTGCTATTTACATTCACATCACTGATCATAGTGTGAGGGAATCATTTCTGTAGGGCCCTGTGTTAAACAAGCGTAGGTCCAAAGCCCAATCTCAAGACACAGAGACACAAAGTGGCAAACAAAAACACCTATAAACAATGCATGTTAAAGTGTGTTATATTGCTCGGGCTACCTAATGTAATGTGCATTGTTTGTGTGTGTGTATGTGTGTATGTGTGTGTGTGTGTGTGTGTGTGTGTGTGTGTGTTTGTTTGTGTGTGTGTGTGTGTGTATCAGAGTGTCAGGATCTTACCTGATGTGGAGTCTGACGTGCAGAGTTATATGCTCACCCTTGCAAATAAACTAAGGTGACCAGGTAAGAAGCCACCTGGGCTGTGAGTCTGTTCACGGGGGCTGTGCAGGATATAGCTCCAAGTCGCAGTACAGGAAAGGACAAAAGCAGGAGGATAGTCGAGTATAAGCCAAAGTCAGAGGGTGCCAGAGGTCAGGATAAAATTGGATAAGCCAAAGGGATTTTGTTTGGCCAAACATTTGCAATTTCGGTTTTCGATCCACTATAATTCAACATAAAGTAATAAATGATAACTCTACACTGCACTCTGAAAACTCACAGAAACTCACAGAAACTATAAAAGAATGCATTCCTTGCTGGGATGATTTATTAGAAATAGTGCAAAATAGAAGCAAAGACAAACACATTAAAAAAAAAAAGGAATCTTTGCTTCGGCTAGAAGAGGTTGGAGGGAACTAAAATAAATCCTAGAGAAACACGGAACATCATAAACTCCATTCTTTGCACCTTTTAGCAAGCATAGACGAAGTAAAATAAAGAGGGTTATGTATAAAAAGTGCTCCAAAATACGAAAGGTGAGGCAATCACCCAGGCAACCAATGGAACCAACAGGCACATTCCATTGATGACTTCACCCATTCTGAATGTTAAGACAACCTTGAAGAACACAGCATTTTATATATAACCCCCAGTGTTTCTGATCCTCCTCCTCACTTGTGATGTTATCTGCTAAATCTTTCATATGAAATTTAAAAAAAACCAGAGTGTCATATGGAAAAAAGTTATAAGTAATGTATTCTCAATGTTTAATTCAACAGTGTAATTTCAAGAAAAGTGACTGTTCCTCTTTAATGAAAGGGGTTGGATGAGAAATTGCTTTGGGGGAATATCAGAGACATTTCACAATTGCTCTAGTCTTAGGAATTGAGAAATAATAGCTTGTACATATCAGAAAAGATTTATTGTTTGAAGTGCCCCAAATGAAGACAAGCAACACAACAGAATGTCTCCAGGGGTAAGTATGAGTGAACGTCATCAGTAATTAATAACAAATCATTTTTTAAAAAAAAAGTTTTTCTTTAACTTGAAAGAAAAGAATTTGTAAACAGCCGTAAGTAAATTTTATTGTCTTTTTCGAAGTGTTTCTCTGTGACCGTACATACGCACGTGCAAATAACATATACCAAAAATATTCCTAACCTGTAACTACAAAATCTCACACTGGGGCAGCAGATATTTTCCCATGACTGCTGACCCAACCAGTCCGCAACCAAAACCCGTTTCCCCTCAATAATACACGTGACACCTCATTCATGTGGATGAAGGCAATGGCCACAGCTTTATTTAATATAACAAGTTTAACTCAGTAAAACTCTGCCAGCTGTTGGGTGTTTGCCCAACAGGCAGTTCTCCTAAATTCTGTACCATGAGCCTCGACAGCCTGCTCCTCGCCATCAGCTCCGTGCAGGCTGTCGTTTCCCCAAAGTCATTTTTTTATTTGATCCGGTATCCTGTTCTGGCATTATATCGTTTTAGCCTATATGGGCACCCTATATGCTGATTACATAGAGCATGGCACAGCTCTATCCTTGTGAGTTCGATTCCATTCATTCTGTTTTCATATTTTATGTCATTATACAGAAAGTACTATGTTTTGATTTTTGTCTGTATTTTCAGATATATTGAACCTGTGCTGCCTCAACATTAGTTTTATCTTGTAATGTTTAATTACTGGCCCTTATGTTGAAATGATCTACCCTTATGATCAGTATCACTTTTTCATCTTCTTACTGTGCAGTGGTCTGCAGGGTTCTGCTGAAACTCTGCTCATGTAGCGCTTTAATCCAATTTCAACCTGACTGCCTTAAACCGTACAGTGACTTGTTCAATGTGAGAAATAGTTTTCCATTTTATTTCTTGCCCTCAAAACCTTCTGGTTGTTCTACATATATTTCACAAACAATTGCAGTAAGTAAGCTGAAATAAGTCGTATTGTGCTGATAGATGCCTTAGTGGCTTTAGAGGATTCCGCGGGGATAGGAATACAAATCTGTATTTCTAGCAATACGGAGCCCTCTGGTCCTCCCTAACACCCTTCATCAGGACCTCCCCCGGCATGTAAAGGGTTAAAAAACCAAAAAAACTTTATTTACTCATCCGTTTCCTGTGCCGATCTCCCGCAGTGCTGACACAGCGCTCCGTCCCCTTCGATGCATGTCCTCTCTCTTAAACTACAATGTTTTACGTTGCAGGACTAAGTGGGACAGTGACACTGCACCCTGACCAATTTAATGAGACTAATTTGTGTGGGTGCTTAAAATGTCCCTTGAAGATTCATATGTAATGTTTGCAGTTGGGGACACCGTTTCTTCGTAATCAATTCACTTTAATTGATTATAAACTTTAGCAACATATCTGGCCATATATGTTTCATTCTTTGTCGCCTCCAACCTTCCAGTGAGTGTGTAATTTTCTCTCAGTACAGCCAATGAATGTGCTAACTCTGCATCACTCTTGTTTTTCAGTAAGTATACAAACACTGCTCCTGAGTAGTCCTGAGTGGATGCTATGGCATATTTCAAACCTTCTTTAGCTTGTGGTTCTATAGGACATGCCAAGTCAGTATGCACCAGTTCTAATGCTGCTGGGCCTTTTTCATCCGACTCTTTCATTATACTCTGAACAGTTTTTTTCGTTAAGGGCAAATTTCACAGTTTAGGTCAGGCATATCAATTTTACCCTCAATTTTAATTCCGTCTACAACATTCTGTAACTTTGCAATGTCATCTTAATTACAGTGACCTAGAATTTCATGCCAAATTGTAATATCCATGGCAGCTAATTTCATTTTCAGTAGAAGAATTTGGATAGTAAAATCTCTTGTAGTTTTGTGTTTTGTATTTGGTTCCTGCTCTTACAAACACATTCACTTCTGCCTCGTCTACAGTTAACTGGTGCACCATTGCTTACTGCTGTCTCTACAGGCAAGATGTCTTGAGGATATTAAGGTATACACAATGCCTTGCTTAGGGTTGCCAATACTCGATTTTCCTTTACTGTCATGTAGGTAAATCTCTGCATCACCACTCCTCGGTGCCTAACTACTTTCTTATTCCCATCTGCAAGTTCCATAAAGAGTTTTTCTAGTTTACAGTTCACTCTGTGACCGAAGTTGTAACAGACAATATCAGAGTCGTGCTTCATTTCAAATCTAGGACATTCTTACATTGCTCACTTTCAACACTCTATCGTCAATTGAGCTTGCACATTATTTCACAATATCTTCAAAACTTCTCAACTGTGTTTTTATCTGTACAGAAAGTACCTTCACAAAAGTACCTTTACAAAAAGTACCTTTACCTGTGTAACATGGATGGCAAATGGTTTACACAATTAAAGCAAACATTTCAGAATTATCACAATCGGCAATCCATCACTTAACGTTTCTCCCACATTTCTTAATACTGCTGTGTTTGTCTTTGCATTTGTACCTTTCTGAATCAACGTCAGCTTATTGTATAAATAGTCAGGGGTATCCTTTGCCTGCATAATAATGTTTCAGTATTTGAAACTCCTTTCTTACATCATCAGCTCCCTCAATCATATTTAAAGACATAATTTTATCATCTAAGACCTGAATTAATGGAGCATATACTTTCTCATTCATGTGTTTATCAATATCATAATCATCACCAGTAACATCTGGTTCACTCAGGTTACTCTGAGATTCATTAACTACAGAAGTCCACAAACTTTGCCTTCCATAACTCATAGTTCTTTTAATCTATGTCAGAGCACAGCCTGGTCCATCAGTTTTAAGCATCCCACCTGGGCCTATAACTTGTTGCAATCTGCATTCTGAAGGTAGGATAAGTGGGCAAGTTCAGAGAGTAGAGAGGAACAATACCACACATATTTAGTGCTTCACAGCTCAAGGGTAACAATTGTATTGTACCATGGACATAAACACTATTGAGAGCACCTTAGAAATATATCTAAACAACTTTATTTTTTTTTTGGACTAACCTTTTATGGAGCTGTAGAGAGAGAAGCAGACTGTCTCTGTCTCCTAAACTCCTGCTCCAACACCTCACTAATGGACAAAAGACCAAGTTTAATACATCACTGGCTGTTTCAACTTCTGTCTGGGAGTGTATGTCCCAAGAAGATTGGGCAGCCCATATTGTATAGATATGTATATGTAGCCTAATGTTTTGCTGTGTATATGCAGGAATATATCTTGCAAATTCATCAAATTTGTGGGGACATTACTTAATGAGCTATGGCACAAGAAATATTTTTTTTAAATAAAGTTAGCTTACATAAACAAAAAAAATGAAAAACTCAGAATGACTTATCATAATTCCTATCAAATTAATTCTTGCATCCGTGCACAGTTATTCATCAGTAACCACATTCACCAGCATTAAATTTGAAGAGGCAGAATAGGAACTACCGATGAATGGTAGATGATCAAATACTTGAGAAATCCATAGATCTACAGTTGTAGAAAGTCAGAGAAACTTGATGAGGATATGAGTAGAAATTTGAATGTAGGTAGCCTAGAGCTTGGTTCAGCTAGCAGCTCAATCCAACATTATAAACAAGATAAAGACAGAAAGAGATTAGGAATACTCCAGCACACCAGGACACAACAAAAATAACTTTAGGTTTACAGCTTCATCATTTGAATCACTCATACAATCACTCACACACTTAAACCTAGGAAGCAATATTAACATGTTAAATAGCAAAAATAAATCATCAACTGTTATTACCAATTCTTTTAAAATTCCTAAAAAAAGGTGAAATGGTAAATATGATGCATCAAAACCCATACGATCACCCCGCTATGAGCTGTCAACAAAGCATCCTGTGACATCCGAAAGGTATCTGACATCCAAAATGTATCCAGTGCTAGACATTATCTAAAATCCCTCGTTTGTGCTATTATATGATGCTATGTATATTTTCTGTTGCAACATATTTGCGATTTGATTTTTATGACCAATTTTAAAAGTATTGATAATAAAATTGTATACTTTATTTATCTACCTAAATTTACTCTCCTTCTTTAATAAAGTGATTCAATGAGATTGCACTGCCAGAGACTACGTTTTACCACCCTGTCCGTTAAACCGTGTTGGTGAGATTGCTGTGAAATGCTGTTTAATTGTGCTTGACAGAAGCATTAGAAACCATACAAGGACATCAGACTAAAGGAGCAGTGTGATTAAATGAAAACTGTAAGTTCTCTTGAAATTACATCCTTGAACTAAACTTTAGAATACAGTTTATCCTTCTCTGCTTGCTTTGTCTGTGGTATTAACTGTCTCTCCCACTGTGAATATACAAGTTGAAGTATCAATCCCGACTTATAGGTGCAAAGGCTATGTTATGTTTTGTGGGGGGCTGTTTTGTTGTTTTTTTGAATAACAGAATGGGCAAAGCATATAACAATAACTGACAGAGAGTTATGTTTGAAGCACTCAGTTCCAGGATGGAGAGGTTAATACAGCAATGTGATTTACCTACTCTTTTTTTTAATTATGGGACATTGGTGCAAATATACTGAACTTTATCATCTCAGACCATCTTTGCTCGTTTATCTACCACAATTAAAGGGACACCGTATGAACCAATAGTGGTTGGCAACGTGTAGGAGTGTAGTACAATGTCTTGGCCATAAGTAGCCGTGAGTTGGAGATACTCCTATTAACCCCTTAAGGACACATGACATGTGTGACATGTCATGATTCCCTTTTATTCCAGAAGTTTGGTCCTTAAGGGGTTAATAGAACCGAAATTTGTCACAGCGATTAGGAAACATGCTGTTGTATTGCGATTTCTGTGTAGGACATTCTCATTTACTAACTAGCTGTGCACTTAACATAAGAAAAACATTTCTACATAGCACATTTACATTTAGATAGTGCTGCGGAGGTAGGGTAATAAACAATATAATTGCCTGATTTGTGCAAGCTACCCTGCAAAAATGTGAAATATTTGCATTTAATTTATACTATTACATTATTTTCTTTATTATTTAATTAATTCATTCATTATTACTGTCTACTCTGTTGCGGTTCCCTGTCTGCTCGTGGTTGCACACACTGTCATAGCGCACACACACAATTTGTCTGCCATGATCTCTACGTTCGCCTTTCACAGTACGTCTACTTCACTTATTTTCAGTTAACCATGAATTAGTATGTCCTTTTCTTTTTGTGTAGGCAGCAAAAATAGGAAACATCTTAACTCTACTTTGTACCAATTTGTTGTGGTGTTTTTTGTTTTTTTTGTGGCAGTCCTGTGTACCCACAATACGTATTCACAGAATTGAAAGTACATTTTGTTTCTGTGGAAATATTGCCGGTGGTAAGACTGGGCCTTAACAGGCTGTCGTGACTTTGATTCTAATAAAAAAAAAAAGAATGTCTAGCAATCCTTGTATGTAAAGATCCCCCTTTACTCTTTTATTAGTGCCCCATCAAACCAAGTAAAGTCTTGAGACTGAGTCTCTATCAAACTCTCAAATCCACTGTAAATGCTACAACATTAAAACTATGCATTTGTAAACATGAAGTGACCTGGTTAGCCCACAATGAGTAACATTACCATTGTGATAGTAGTCATAGTGATTAACATTGAACTACCTGAAAGTGCAACAACTGTGAATTATTTAATTACTCTTATGTAAACCATATTACAGCATCATAATTAAAAGTGCATTGTTAAAAAGTGCATTATTATATGTGTATTTAAATAAAAAAACAAGCACCAAAAAATGTAAAAAAAAAAAAATGAAAAATCATAAAAACGATTTTTATAGATGTATTTATTTATGTTTTCAGAAAATTCCCTGAGGATACAAAACAATAAAAGTAGTTTTTAATTCAGTTTTTTTAAATTAATTTAACACGAGACTGACCCTTACTCTTTCGGCAGGATTTAATGGAATCAGCCTGGATTCAGTTTGATGTTTCTAGCAATACAGTTCGATATGAAACTACTTTGATTCAGTTTGATGATTCTAGCAATACAGTGCGATATGTAGGTAAGTGAGTACATAACTTAAGATGCAAATGGTGATACTGTAAACGTATCAAACATTATGGCTCTCCGAACTTGATCACACAAGTCCAGGGCAGTAGACTGACTCTAACATCCTTTGATCACATTAGTACTCGTAAAAAGCTATTGTAGGCATCATTTGTGTCCACTTGTTGACACTTGTATTCTGTCATGCTATGCAATTGGCATAGCTGTATTGCCTCATAAGGTCTTCATCCCTATATAATAATGTTGGATGAAACATGTAGGACCATTTTTGAGGTTTTATTTGTATGTTTTTAAGTTATACCCAATTGGAAAATAAAGTGGAATTTTGGATACCCGTCCTGGATATTATCCCTGGTAAGGATATATTGGATAGCCTCCCAGATATCAAAGGGGAGGCACAGAGAGGTGAGGCAAAATAACCATCTGTTCTGTGAGTGCACTTCTAACTGCGCAGTGCTTTATCCTGTTTTAACTGTATTACACTGTGCCGTTATCGTTTTTGTAGATTAACAGCTGTATTCCCTACTTACTATATATTCCGGCTGTTTTACAAGTGGACATATGATGGGATATCACCTGGGGAAAACTGTATATTTAATAATTATACACAGGGGAGGGCTGGCAGCCTTAGGCCTGGGGGGCAAAACCCATCAAGTGGCCCATTGCACCACCAAATCAGTTCACCATCCTTTTCCTGGTTTTATAACGGATATTGATGTTATGCTATTCAGTAGCTCTTTGCCATACCCGCTCCTTCACGGCTCTGACTTTCAATGTTGTCAGAGCGCAGGCTGAGAATATCTGAGCCTGTGCTCTGACTCACTAACTGAGCGCCGGAACATGAGGGAGAGGCTCTAATCTGACTGCACCTACTGCTGGTGCGCACCAGTGGACCACCAGCGAATCATTTAAACTGAATAGGCTGCTGTCCCCAACTTGTGAGCTGTGTTGTCCGCACAGCTTGCACACCCCAATGGCTGGCCCTGCTTACACACACTGACGTTACTACTTAGACATCCCTCAATATTAATACAGACATCAGAGTAAACACCAATAAACTGTGGAAACAGAGCTGATCCCCCCAAATTTATAAAGATTTGCTTAGTGGATTTGTTGTAAGATTAAATCATGCCTCCTCCTCTCTAATCACAATCTCCCAGCACAGCGCCACCGGTGGCTGCATGGGGAACAGCTGGTTAATGTAATGCTTGCAGGACGGCCAGCTGCTGCAGAACCTCTTTGTTAGAAACATAGAAACATAGAATGTGACGGCAGATAAGAACCATTCGGCCCATCTAGTCTGCCCAATTTTCTAAATACTTTCATTAGTCCCTAGCCTTATCTTATAGTTAGGATAGCCTTATGCCTATCCCACGCATGCTTAAACTCCTTTACTGTGTTAACCTCTAACACTTCAGCTGGAAGGCTATTCCATACATCCACTACCCTTTTCTATCCTCTTTATGTCCATTTCATTTTTCCTTCCCCCTGCTCTCTTCTCCTTTTCTTCCTGAGACAGAGGGCAGTTAAGCACAAAGGAAAACGAGTGGGGACACGGAGAATAGAGGGAATAGACCCAAGGGGAGTCTTATCTAGGCCGACATTTTAACCATTTAGATTATCTCCTAGTCAGAAATGTGATAGTCCCTCTGTAACATGGACTGATCATGTTTCTCCAAGTAGGAGAAATATTCTTTCTCCATTTTTTTCTCTGCAACATTATCTCCTTTCATCTTGCTGGCATGCCAAGAGCTGCTTTATCTGGTTTTGAGAAAGATCCTTCTTGACTGTAAGAGGATTCACGTATCTTTTCATACCTGCACATGGTGGCTATACCAGTGGAATCTAATTTGCATTGTGCAAATTACAATTCCAGTCCTGAGTTCAGATTTATATGGGCAAATTCTAGCTTTGACACCTATGGTGATTTGAGATGCCTCAAGCCATTTTCTATTTTGTATTTCCACTTTTTTTTTTCTCGAGAATCACAACGCTCTGCTATATGTTGACATTTCTAATAAGTAATATTTAGACTATTGAAATTTGCTCTGAATTTTTGTTTATATTTCAGCATTAATATCTATCACTAACAGAAACTGTTCCCCACTTTTAGATGAATTAGACGCCTTCAGATTACATAGTCCATCTACTCCTACGCTGAGAAATTTTCGAAACTACCACCATCGGATTCTGATTGCAATTACAGACATAAATGAGGAGAATTCGTGCGCACATTTTGAGTCCTATGCTGATAACAATGGTAATTCATGCAGACATATTTTTTACTTCTTAACCCTACTACCTTAGTGATCGCACAGCTTTTATCTTATCCCCCACATTGCTCTTTTTCCTGTGTTTTTGTACCTCGCCTCCAATATTTAGTAAATTTGTTCAACCATTGTCAATACGCACCTAATTTCTTGTTAACATTTGTTTTTGTTTTTTTCATCTGTTATTCTGCAGTTTTGAATGGTAATGTGAATATGTTGAGCTCTACTGTCTTTTAAATACATATAACAGGCAGTAATACAAAGGAACACTTTATGCATAAAGGGATATTCCAAACACCAGAAACTGTTCTGCTACGAATAAGAAAAATGGCATTTTGTTTTGTTATTCATTCCGAGACAAAAAAAAAGAAATAATCTCAATGTGAAAGAATAAAATGGACAAAAATAACAACAGAAACATTGCTAAAGCATTCCTAAATACTTTTATATATTTAGCCACATATTAACAAAATGGCTCTATCACTTAATACTCGTCGATCCTATGATAGGATTCATAGCGGAACATAACATAGCCAACATGTTTGATTTAACATCTTTGGTAGGTTCGCTACTTTTTGCAACCTTAAATTAAGACTATCTCACAATATTATCAAGTTATACCTGACTGGCATTCAATATCACGTGTTCTCTACTTTTCCAAACAATTCCAATTTCATATAATCCTATCCAATAAAGGCTATACTTAAAGGTATACAAGCAACCTATACAGGAATGCGGAAGACTTTTGTCAAAATGTCCTCATAATGTAATATACATTGTGTTATGTTCATTGTCTAAATAAATATACAACAGCATTGTATTCTCTCCTTTTTGCCCACTTTTATTTCCAGACCTACCGCATTGTCGGTTCCGGCACACTTCAACCGACATTTTTCCTATAACAAGTTAAGTCACAGCGCAATCTTGTATCATCAATATTGATGTTGCCTCGAACACAAATGTTAAGGCTTTGCCTGGAGTTGTGGGAGAGGCTTGGTGTTACCTATAAAAGGGACTCCTCCCTTTCTTACTCTACCGTTAATGGTCTGGCAAGTATCCAAGAGTATCCAATAGTAGCAGAAATCTATTACCTATTCCTCCTAAAGGTATATTACCTAATTGCCCTGAGTAATATGTATAAGTAGGAGAAATCTATTACCTATTCGGACTAAAGGTAATGGTAGCAGAAATCTATTACCTATTAACCTTGAGTAATAGGTAAAAAAGTTGCAGAACTCTATTACCTATTCAGCCTGAGTAATAGGTAATAGTAGAATAAATCTATTACCTATTCAACTTGAGTAATTGGTAAATAGTTAAAGAAATCTATTACATACTCACCCTGAAGGTAATAGTAGCAGAAATCTATTACCTATTTACCCTGAGTAAAAGGTAATAGTAGGATAAATCTATAATCTATTCACCCCGAGTAATGGGTAATAGCAGGATAAATCTATTACCTATTTACCCTGAGTACTAAATAGCAGGATAAATCTATTACCTATTTACCCTGAGTAAAAGGTAATAGTAGGATAAATCTATTACCTATTTACCCTGAGTACTAGGTAATAGTAGGATAAATCTATTACCTATTTACCCTGAGTACTAGGTAATAGTAGGATAAATCTATTACCTATTTACCCTGAGTACTAGGTAATAGTAGGATAAATCTATTACCTATTTACCCTGAGTACTAGGTAATAGTAGGATAAATCTATTACCTATTTACCCTGAGTACTAGGTAATAGTAGGATAAATCTATTACCTATTTACCCTGAGTACTAGGTAATAGTAGGATAAATCTATTACCTATTTACCCTGAGTACTAGGTAATAGTAGGATAAATCTATTACCTATTTACCCTGAGTACTAGGTAATAGTAGGATAAATCTATTACCTATTTACCCTGAGTACTAGGTAATAGTAGGATAAATCTATTACCTATTTACCCTGAGTACTAGGGAATAGTAGGATAAATCTATTAATAGAAAAAACGAAGAATGAATAGAGCTGTATAATCCTTCTGTATAAGAAGGGGGACTGCGGCTCTAGAGAGATTAGCGTAGATTCCTATGGTACAGGAGTACCATTAGGGTTAGCTATCTTTATCTTTGGTGTCTCAGTGTTTCCTTAGCTCTACGGACTATTTTTTCTATATTGAGTGTCACTGTGTGTTTGGGGGAGGATTTTTCTTTTTCTTAGCTTGACCCTCTCTGGAGTCTTTAGAGGTTGGGGGCGATATATTTCTTATAGGCCCCGCTGGGAGGGTTTTTGGGATTATCTATTCCTTTTCCCCAGTAAACACTTTCCCGTCCCCTCCCCTCCCCTTTCTCCCACCATACCTGGCTTACTGTAACTTACCCTATCCAGTTACTATCTGGATTATGGTATCTCTCTGTATTTAGAGCTACATCTTGATATACCCTTGTTACAAGGGTCTCCTTCATTTGTATAGGATAAATCTATTACCTATTCAGGTGATAATTAAATAAATCTATTTTATTCACTCTGAGTAATAGGTAATAGTAGAAGAAATCTATTGTCTGTTAGTCAGGGTTAATTTACTTTTGCATTGTCTGAAAAATATAGCACTGTAACTACATGTGTTTTATAAAATCTAATGGCAGCTATTATAAAAGGATTTGAGTGACAACGGATATTTGCATAAAGTAGGGCTTTTTCTCTAAGCAGATAATGATTTCAAACACTGTTGGCCACCAAACTGTGCCTTGCGGGGGATGCATGGATGGCATCATCTAACGTACACTACTTGTGCAGTGGCCTAGTCACACTATATCTTGAACTTCAGCCTTGGTTTCCGTTCTGTTCAGTGAGAGGAGTCATGTAAACCACTAAGTTCTTCCACTGTCTCTCTGTATTTCATTTCACATCAACCCAACATGAAAAAGACGCCAAGTAGACTAGCATGTACACTTTGTGGAAATCTATCTATGGAGAGTCTGTGTAACTATGCATTTTTTCATTTTATTTTTTTCATAGCCAACAGAAATAAAGATAATTATTGTTAAATTATATACAGAAATGAAGGAAAGCATTTCATCTTTTGGCTCGGACCATCAGTTACTCTTATTTTCCCAGTGGCGTACATACCGGGGTCACAGCTGCGACCGGGCCAGGCCCAACAGGGGGCCAGGCCGCCCTGCGACCCAGTATGTATGCCAGTGTAGCCAGCCTCTTCTCCTGGGGGGCCCAGTAGCTGGCCACCTCAGGGCTCCCCGAGGCTGGCCCTGGTGTCACCCGGTGGGCAGGCTGGCGGGCGCGCGAGGGAGCACTCTCCCCTGAGTGCTCCCTCTTCAGCTCCCATGCGCACCGCACTGATGCCGGAGCTGGAAGAGAGTGCCTGCCGGGTGACACCACTGGACCCCAGGGAATCCCCTCAGCTCTCCCAAAGGTAGGAAGGCTGGGGAGATTAAATTTAAAAAAAAAACGTGTGTGTTAGAGTGTGTGTGTGTGTGTGTTAGAGTGTGTGAGTGTGTTAGAGTTTGTGTGTGTGTTTGTGTGTGTGTGTTAGTGTTAGAGAGTGTGTGTGTGTTTGTGTTAGAGTGTGTCAGTTACTGTGTGTGTCTGTTACTGAGTGTGTTAGTTTGTGTGCGTCTGTCAGTGAGTGTGTTTGTATGTCTGTCACTGAGTGTGTGTCTGTCAGTAAATGTGTGTGTCTGTTAGCTAGTGTGTATGCGTCTGTTCATGAGAGTGTGTGTGTGTTAATCACTTACCTTTCTCCAGTGCTGGACTCCCTTGGCGCTGGGGATCTCTCCGCCCCGATCCACCTCTCAGCTCCGAATGCGCATGCGTGGCAAGACCCGCGCGCACATTCAAACTGCCCATAGGAAAGCATTACTCAATGCTTTCCTATGACCGTTCAGCGTCTTCTTACTGTGATTTTCACAGTGAGAATCGCGGGCGCTCCTCTAGCGGCTGTCAATGAGACAGCCACTAGAGGCTGTATTAACCCTCAGTGAAACATAGCAGTTTCTCTATCATTGAGCTGATGTAATCTGGGTGTCTGTAGTGGTCCTTTAAGTGTATGTGTATCTGCATGCACTGGCGTACATACCACGCCATGTGTTGCGGCCACAGACCGCGCAGTGCGCGTGGGGGGCATGGATCAGTTTTTGCCCCGGGGCCCCATGGGTTGTGTGTACGCCACTGTATTTTCTTATGATTGACAATAAGCAAGGAAAGTTAATATAAATAATAATAATTAAAAAAAAGAAATTTGATGTTGTAGACAAAACAAAAAGACCTGTATGTTGATTCTTACCACTGTCAGCTGATACAGTGAACATCTCATTTGAATAATTCCATTTAGTTGGGTAATAATAAGATCAAGATATACCTGGAAACATTTCATAGTTAGATTCTAGTTACATAATTTGCTATTTATATCTTACATTTAATTGGTTTCCTTTTGTTTTTTTCAGACACACATGCAAAGTTCTTCCTACACAAATACAGAGAAACAGGCCCACATCACAATGGCATACCTGTACTCTTCACCCTTGAAAAAGACAGTAAGAACTATATTATGTACTGTACCAACGATAACTCCATCCATTTTAAAGTGAGTATACAGACACTTCCCTTATAACCATGATTGCTATTTTCAAATATGTCTTTAATAAGATTACTCTTTTCATTTGCTATCATTATGAGATTCACAGATCATAATAGGAACTATGGTAGACATAGGACATGGTTTGGAGTGGGGACATGGTGGAAGGGGTATAAGTAACTATATTAGGGTGGGGGCCATACAATTAACCTTGGGATAAAGCCCCAACTTCAAAGGGTCTGTATGGCCAAAACGATAGTCTGAATTTGTATCCCATCTTCCCTTCTTCCAAATTCCAAGTAAAGAATGTTGAGGGTTTCCCCATTCTTAGAGAATGCCTTTTATCATCTGACCAGCTTTTCTTCATTGAGTCTCAATATCTCTTACAAGAAGTCACTAAAAGCCTACTGTTTCAGGCAAGCATGACTACTAATTAATTGAATTGAACTAATTGAATTCCCTCCCTAAAATAGTAAGCACACATGTGACGGACCACCTGGGTACCTCTGTCAATCGCGGCTTCCTAGTACTAATGAGTACCATAAGCACTGCGCTGAAACACCATAACTACTAAAACCCCACGAACCACTGCAGCTTGGTTGGGATCTCGCTGTTTCCCACCCACCCTGGACCTATGACTAGGATCCAGCTTCCAGTGGGTAGACCTCTCTTAGTCCAGAGAGTGTAGCAGGAACAAGCTCTTACAAGAGCTTAGTGATTATACTAAGTGGAGTATAGTGATTATAGCAATCCCCAGAGTGTAGTTCTCCAATCCCCCAAACATGAGCCGAAACTTCATGAAGGTGCAAGATGATCTGAGCTTTTTATGGTTCAGGTTGGCTTTTATACAATTCTCCAGGCCAGAGGAACACCCCCTGGACCTGATGGGGCACAGGAACACAAAGGGCATAAACCAATCAGAACAAACATACAGTCTGTGACACGCCCATGTACAGCACACAATCCCTCCCCTCTGCTTGGGAGATAATTGAGAAAAGTCCTGTAAGTAACTCAATGATCTCCAAGCAGGAAAACCACATTTTCACAAGGTTCAGAAAGTACCCCAAAACATAACATACCCCCAAAAACCCAGATCAGAGCAGGGGTTCAAAAGTTTCATGGAAGTCTCTTTTTGACCGTCCGCAAGCATGGTTTCAGGCCCAAAACAGTTCCAGATAATCAGGGCTTGCCGCCGGTCTAGTTCGGTAGTTTGCAAACGAACAAACTACCGAACTGAGTCAATAGTCTTACTCTGGGGCTTGTTCCCTTCATCCAGACGAATTATCTCATCGAACAGTGGCCTTCTAAGCTGAATAGAAACAAACGCAGGTGATGATGGAAGTTCAGCGGTGTTCGGGTGTTTCTGTATTCATGCCCAGACACCGCTGTCTGCATTCATGTGAACAAGATGGCCGCCACCTCGTGGTTGTTCATAGGAATCACAGCCACCCAGACGAACAATTAGAACACTGCGGTGAGAAACGTTCCAAGCTGTTAATAGGTGTTAACAAGCTCCAGGGTGGTCTCTGTTCGTGTAGTTGTTTGGTAAACGAACCATATGGTCCCAATTGCACAAACAGAGCCTGTTTGGAGTACATTAGCCAGTTCTATTGCAGGGGCCACAGTCACAGGGTAGGAGGCTGGCAAACAGGCCCCTCCAAAAACTTGTGGCAAACTCACAGAAAAAGGGGAGCTTGTCACAACATGTTTCACCCAACATAACTTAGCCTACCTCTGTCTGCTCTTAGCCTATTTTAACCCCTTTTTATCATAACTACCAAGTATTGTATAATTATCAGTATTTATTTATTTTGAACACTGCTAATCTACTTTCTGTCATCGAAACCCTGATTTTCTTTAGACCGACATGGTTAATTGTCACAAATTTAAGCTAAATTGGAGAAATTCTGCATATCAGCTACTTTTCATTTAAGCTACAATGGCTTAAAATTTGTAAGCTTTTTTTTCATAATTACTTGCACGTTTTCCCTTAGCAGTGTATGTTAGTATATTACAAGCAATATACTTATAACAGCAAATTGTTAAAAAAAAAAACTTTTTTTTTTATCTCTTTTACAGGTAAAAGAATTGCCAAAGGAAATACCTTCAAGTAAAAGTAAATATATTTTTTACCAGAAAACATTTTCACCTGGACAAAGTTGTATATGCTTTGAGTCGTCTTTAAAACAAGATTTTTATCTTTCATTTCTGAAAGAAAACAACGTCCAAAAACTAATATTAAAGCACTGTCCTCGGGGGAAATTAGATGAAACCATAAAAATGTACAGTAGTGATCCAAATCTGTAATCTGTTTCCAACTTGTAACATACCAAAGGTGTGTACTTTATTCATGGCCTGTGGTCACTTACTATTTTTTGTCAACAAGCTATAGGGAGCATTTTTTTTTCCATACATTTGACAGGATCTCTCATCAGATTTACTGTATAACAAATATAGTATGATGTACTCTAGTTCCCTTGCTGTCAGATATGCTAAATTCTCACCTATTTACCTATCAACAGTTTTAACGTACCTGCTATAATATAAATACACGCTGTTCAGTCCATAACATCCAAGGTTGCTGAAAGGCCAGATTTTCTACCACTGTTACATCCTGATACTTTTTTTATTTTTTATTTATTATGCATCAAATCAGATAGGTGGCTGTGAAACATTTTCACCTTCTGGCTTTTATTAATTTGTTATATTAGGTCTTGAAGGGTAACTCCAAACCTTTTGCCAACCAATGTTATTTAAGCTATGTATATGGCTTACATAGTTACATAGGCCGAAAAGAGACATGTGTCCATCAAGTTCAGCCTTCCTCACACCTGGTTTTTACCGTTGATCCAAAAGAAAGCAAAAAAAAAAACAAAACACGGTTTGAAGCACTTACAATTTTGCAGCAAACTAGGAAAAAAAAATACTTTCTTGACTCCAAAATGACAGTCAGATTTATCCGTGAACCAAGAAGCAATTACCCTACATTGAAAAATTATATAATTGAATATGGTTTTGCAAGTATGCATCTAGTTGCTGTTTAAACATCTCTACAGACTCTGATAAAACCACTTCTTCAGGCAGAGAATTCCACATCCTTATTGTTCTTACAGTAAAAGACTAAATCTTCTGTCTTCAAGTCTAAGCGCATTACTGCGTGTCCTATGTATAGTCCTGTTTGTGAATAGATTTCCACACAATGGTTTGTATTGGCCCCGGATATATTTGTATAATGTTATCATCTTTTTCTGAACTAAAGAGGTTTAAATTTGTTAACCTTTCTTCATAGCTGATATCTTCCATTCCTTTTATTAATTTTGTAGCCCGCCTCTGCACTCTTACTTGTGTCAAAATATCCTTCTTTAGAACAGGTGCCCCAAATTCCACAGCATATTCAAGATGTGGTCTTATCAGTGATTTATAAAGAGGCAAAATTATATTCTCATCCCGAGAATGAATGCCTTTTTTCATGCATAATAATACCTTACTGGCCTTAGCCACTGCTGATTGACATTACACATTGTTGCCTAATGTGTTGTATACAACAATTCCCAACAAACTAGGCAACAATGAGCAATGCCAATCAACAGTGACCAAGGCTTAATGTACAATTCTCATTTATTTAACCCACACCGCCATTTTATAGTTAAGAACCAATAAAATAATCTAAAAACATACCTTAAATCCAGCACAAGGCCAAGTTCCCGTCACTCCCCACTTCCCTCTTATTTCACTATCAATATACATCACTGGTTCCCTGTTGGAGGTCCAATCAAATGCTTCTCATTGAAAATCATTGTTAGACCTTGGGTGCATGCACAGCCAATAACCTACTGCAATTCTTCTCAATCAGAAGTACTGAACGCTACATTGTGCATGCGCATGGTGTCCATTCACATCAGCTACACACCCTCAGACACCTTTGCCAGTTTGTGACACCAGCTGATGTAGCTCTTCCCTTTTTGTCATCCCACTCCATGACATCATTGTGTCATTGCTGATGCCTTCTCATATTTTAGAGTGGTGCCTACCAAGGAAACACACAAGGCCTATAAATACTTGAGCTTTTCATCTGTTCAATGCTCAGTTGTGGTTTCCTTGTGGTCCCAATAGCATGTCCCTGATTATCTGTGATTTCCTGGCTTATCTAACTACTTTTATCTCTGTACTCCTTGACCCAGCTTGGATTTTTTGGTTTATTGCTACTGTGTTTTCTGGAATCCCTGCACTCGCTTTGTTTCCCTTGACTTTTAAACTCTGTAGTCCAGTAATTAGTTAATATCCTTTAGTAACATAGGTTTAAGCACTACATGTAGGGTGTGCATACTTACTTTGATACATCGAGATAAGATGAGTGACAGTTTATC